GGACGGGCTGGCAGCTGCCCCAGGGCCCATGGTCAGCATCTCCTGCTCTGCAGGCCGTCTGGTCCCTGTCACCACTCATCTCCGCGTTTGTAGCACAGAAGCAGCCACAGAGAACAGAGGAACGACCGTGGCCTGTCCCAATAAGACTACGTATACACACGGAAACCTGAATTCCGTGTCATTTTTACATGTCGTGACATATCCTTTTGATTTCCTTAACCCGGTGAAAATATAAAGCCATTCTCAGCCCGCGGGCTGAAACAAAACAAACAAACAGGAATGTTTCTCTGACCCCAGCCCCCCTCTTCTGGCTCCTCTGGTTGTGGAGGGGGGGACCCTGGGGACCCCCAGGCACAGAGCTGAGGACAAGGCCTGGTGTGGGGACCGCAGACACATTCTCTGGTCCCACCACCTCCCACCAGCATCCCCGCTGGTGGCAGCTTCCTGAGAAAGGGAACCGGCCACCTGAGGACCAACTTTCTCTCTCTTTTCATTCCATTTTATTTCACTTCAATGTGTGTGGTTTGTTGTTGTGTGTTTTAGCAGGAAAACCTAGTTTTTAAATTTTATTTTTTTATTTATTGTTTTTAAATATTTTTATTGATTTCAGAGGAATGAAGAGGGAGAGAGCTAGAAACATCAGTGATGACAGAGAGTCACTGATCGGCAGCCTCCTGCACGCCCCACACTGGGGACTGAGTGTGCAACCCAGGGATGTGGCCTGACCGGAAATCAAACCCTGACCTCCTGGTTTATAGGTCGCCGCTCAACCACTGAGCCACACGGGCTGGGCTACTTTTTTTTAAAAATAATTCTTTCTAAAATTTCTAGTAACCACGTTTATAAAGTAAAATAAACAAGTGAAATTCATTTTAACATGTTATTTAACTCAATACATCCAAAACAGTATTCCAACATGTAAACAATAGAAAAGAATTATGAAAGAAATCTTTCAATTCTCTTTTTGGTGATAAGTCTGGAGCCCAGTGTGTAGTGCACACTTACAGCACATCTCGCTCAGACTAGCCACATTTTGAGTCCTCGCCAGTCGTGTGGCTGGCAGCTACCATATTGGATGGTGCAGATTTAGACGGACTGAGACGGGGGTTGTGGGGAGAACTTGGTGTGTGATGCCACAAGGGAGAGGGCTGCCCGGCTGAGTCCTGGGAAACATGAGTTAAGGTTGGAAGGGGGCAGCTGCGCGATATGCCCTTGCCAGCCAAGTGAAGCAGCTCCATCTGAGTTGGACCCTGCCCCCACCCCCCTAGGCAGACCCTGGGCAGAGTAGAGCGGTGAGCAGAAGCAGTGAAATGACTTTTATTCATCAGTGTGGGAAGATGTCACTTACACCCCAGCGTGCGCCTCCACTAGTCGGTTGGTGACACTGGATCGGGTTTGTGGGTGGAGAGTGGGGCAGCGTGCTTTGGACGGGAGGGTTAGCCAGGGGACCCCAGCTTGGTGGTAGGGCCCTTCCCCTGGGCTCTCTGTTGGGGAGAGGGGCTGGAAGGGGACGGACAACCCAAGGGAAAGTAGCAGAAAATGTCAGGGACCCACAGCTTAAAACGGAGGAGACTTTAGTTCAGGGGTGGGCAAACCTTTTCACTCGAGGGCCACAATGGGTTCTTAAACTGGACCGGAGGGCCGGAACAAAAGCATGGATGGAGTGTTTGTGTGAACTAATATAAATTCAAAGTAAACATCATTACATAAAAGGGTACGGTCTTTTTTTTTTTTTTAGTTTTATTCATTTCAAACGGGCCGGATCCGGCCCGCGGGCCGTAGTTTGCCCACGGCTGCTTTAGTTCTAGGAGAAGCAGGAGTTTCATCATTTCAGGCTTTTAAATAATTAACTTTCCGACACCTCCTTCAGGGAGAGGGGAGGCCTTCTTCCCTCTGATTCCTCCATTCCTCCTGCTACCACAGGCTCTCGTGCACTCTGAGCCCTGCTCCACGAAGGGTCTTCAAACTCCGAGCCTGCGGGGCCCCTCCCCAGCCTGCTCCTCAAGGGAACGTGTGACCAGGATTAGGGGAAACTGGGAACCTCTGCGTTGGGGAGGCTGCGTGACCCCCTTCATTTCAAAAGGGCCGGATCCGGCCCGCGGGCCGGAGTTTGCCCACGGCTGCTTTAGTTCTAGGAGAAGCAGGAGTTTCATCATTTCAGGCTTTTAAATGATTAACTTTCCGACACCTCCTTCAGGGCGTGGGGAGGCCTTCCCTCTGATTCCTCCATTCCTCCTGCTACCACAGGCTCTCGTGCCCTCTGAGCCCTGCTCCACGGAGGGTCTTCAAACTCCGAGCCTGAGGGGCCCCTTCCCAGCCTGCTCCTCAAGGGAACGTGTGACCAGGATTAGGGGAAACTGGGAACCTCTGCGTTGGGGAGGCTGCGTGACCCCCTCCCCCCTCGCTGACTGGCTGTGAGGGGGATGGGCGCCTGGAGTACCCTTGTCCCCCAAATCTAACCTTTGTTTTGCCTGGTGGAGGCTCTGCCCCAGGCCCCGCCACCACCTCTGTTCCGTGGAGACAGCGTGGGGCAGTGTTTCTGTCCACCTCTGCCCGAGTCAACCCTGGGGGCCTGCAGCTCTCGGGAGAAAGCAGGGGGGCGTGGGGGGCCTGAACTCAGTGAGACTGGGACCAGACACCAGGATCACAGACATCCGTCACCAGGGCTCTCCCAGAACAAGGATCGTCTAGGGTCCCGAGAGGGAAAATCCCGAGGCCACAGGAAGTCAGGGCAGGAGGGCCCGGGCTCTGTGCCAAGAGCGAACACCCGAGGGAGAAGCAGTGCCACAGCCGACAGGGAAGACGGACTGGACACGGGAAAGACAGCCAGACTGGCTCTGGGCGCGTTTATTACAAAATAATGAGTACAAATCTGGGTAGAAAAGATCCCTGCAGCCCCTGCCATGCCCCGCCCCACAGGCCCCTCTCAGCCGGGCATGGAGGGCGCTCAGATTCGCAGGTCCCCCGCCAGGAGGGCTCGGTACCGGGCGGGTGTGAGGGGCAGGTAGGCGCCCCCCGCTTGGTCCAGAACGTAGAGCGGGTCGGGCAGGGCGCTCGGGTCGAAGCCCTCCTTGGCCATCCGAACCTTTTGCTGCTTGAAGGTCTCTGTGGTGGCCAGAGACTCCTGGGAAGGGGGCGTCAAGGGAGTTGAAGGGAGGGGTACGCTGCCCAGGTGGCTCAGGTGAGTTGCCTGGATTTTATTAGGGGGCAGGTCTGGGAAAAGGGGGTCATGAGGTCAGGGTTCAGGGGAGGAGGTGACAGGGAAGAGAAGGAGCCAAGTCTAGATCTGAAGGGGTGAGGAGCATGTCTGGGAGGAGCTGCTCTTCCTCTTCAGTGTGTTCTGGGGTGTCCCTGGGTGGGGTTCGGGAGCCACCGACTGCTGCATGTGTGGGGCGAGAGGTCGCAGCAGGAGTGGATGGTTACCTGGAGCCGCAGGAACCGGGGCCAGGCGTAAGGTGGCAAGTGCTCAGAAACATAGGCGTAGAGCTGCCCGAGGTCCAGTGAGTGGGGGGGACGCAGAACCAGGGCCGCCATTCCAGCCCTGCCTTCGTGCCCTGGGGAGGGGAGGCAAGGCTTAGCCTCACGCTCCCGGTGCCCAAGTTACACCGACTCCGGGAGGTGGGCCAGGTGCCCCCCCAACTCCCACGCTTGGGCACCTGGCACGGTGACTCCGTAGACGTTCACCTCCTGGAGGAAATCCAGGGCCTCCAAGGCTTCCGCCACCTCAGTTGTGGCCACGTTCTCCCCCTTCCACCTGCCAGAGAGCAGATTCAAAACCGGGAGGGAGGAGTCAGGGCCCCAAGAGCTGGTGGGGAGAATGTCGGAGATGAGGGCAGGGGCCAGAGGTCTGGGAGGAGAGGTTAGATGAGGAGCCGGGCCGGGCTGGGGGATGACGGAGCTGAGGTTTAGGGGGCCCAGGCCACAGAGAGCCGATGCCTGGACCGAGTCAGGAAGGATGGACAGATACCTGAAGGTGTCCCCAGTGCGATCATGGAAGCGGAGAAAGCCTTGGTCATCGCAGACCAACAGGTCCCCGGTGTTGAAGAAAAGGTCCCCCGGCCGGAAGACATCCTTGAGCAGCTTCCCCTGGGCCAGCTCTGGCTTCCCGGCGTAGCCCAGGAACGGAGACTGCTGGCTCACCGGGGCCACCAGCAGCCCTGGCTCACCTGGCAGAGCAGCTGGGGTCAGGGGGGACTGCCGGCCTCACCCCACTCTTCAAGGCCAATCACCCCTAGCCAGCTTCACACACCCCCACCCCACCCAGCACAGACCTGCAGATGTGGCCACACAGTGCCCCCGCGTGTCCCGAAATGGCTCCCCTGTGGTGACATCATAGCGAATCAAAGAGAAGGGGAAGACATGCTGGGGAAGGGAGCCGCAGGCACTGGGTCATTTCAGTTGCACGAACGCCCTCCCAGCCACCCCCCGGCTGTCCCAGGGGGCTCTGCTCCTTCCTCCCTTCACCTTGTAAAGCCAGGAGGCGCGGCCCACAGCGCCCCGCTGTCCGGTGTAGTTGAACGTGGCCACGTTGCCCTCCGTCAGTCCGTACGTCTCCAGCACCTGCAGGGGCCCGAAGCGCCGCACGAAACGCTCCCAGGTGTCCGGGCGCAGCCCACTGCCCACTGCCAGCCGGACCCTGTGTCCACGTTCTGCCTGGTTCTGAGGAGAGTGCAGAGAGGGGCAGGAGCTTTCACACCAAGATGCCAGCTCCCAAAGTGAAGTCCTGTTTGTCGTTCCCCAGAAATCCCTCCACCGGATGCTCAGATTCCCTAAGCAGCAGATGTCCCGTCATCGTTCCAGGCTTCCTCCTCTGCCTCCAACTCCCAGACACCTGTCCCGGTGTCTCCTGGCAACTGCCCATCTCCCTG